GATTGCACACAAAAATAGGAAAAAGTTTTCGGTCACGTGGTGTCAATGGAATGTTTTATGTTTTCTATGTCAATGACATGGTGCAATTCGATTTTGAGTGAGAGAAAGGGAAAAGTTTCACACCTAACATCAATGAAAATCAATGAAAATCAATGAAAATGAGATAGATAGAAAAATTGGATTTAAATCTCTTATTTAGAAATTTCGTGTTTCAAAGTTTGGGTAATACAAGTACACTCTTGGGCCTAATTCCCGATCCAATTTAAACTTAATCTAAATTCGATCTTCGATTTAGAGTCAGATCCAGTGGAAGTGATCTAGAGAAGAAGACTCAGATGGGTCAGAAGGGCCAGAAGGGCCAGAAGGGTCAGATGAGCCAGAAGGGTCAGAAGGGCCAGAAGGGCCAGAGTGGCTAGAAGGCCAGAGTGGCCAGAAGAACAGACGACAGATGAACGATATGGATCGCTGAGTGGCTACCACGAGACCAGAAGAGGCCCATCGGAAGACCAGCAACGAGGTGGAGCACAAGAGTGGCAGAGACGGTCAGAGAAAGAATGGCTAGAGTGCAACCAGCACAAGCAAGTCGAAGACTTCGAACCAGGAACAACCAATATAGGAAACACTGGATGACAATAGCAAGAGATAGAGAAGTGTGGAAGCAGGTTGTGATCTGTAGGAACAGCTGAGTGCGAAGACAAATAAAAAAAACTATATAACACTTTGAAGAAAGCAAAAGAAAAGATAATGTTGTAAAATGAAGCACAATTTGGGGACATGATACAACTAAACTTAGTATATTTTTACTTTAAAAATAGCTGGAAAATCTGGCAAAAAGTTACGGGGTTTTGGTGTGGTTATTGCTTTTGGCCTTGTTTTTGGTGTTGATTTATTAACGCAACAATTGTTAAAACTATTGTCGAGTCTAAATCAGATATCCGATTTAGATATTGAGTCTAAATCGGATAAAAATCTAAAGCAGAAAGTTAAAGTAAAGCATATTTTAAAACAAATAGAACATAAAATAAAATAAACAATAAACAAATAGAACCGTCTGTCCGTCCGTCTGTCTGTCCGTCCATCCGTCTGTCCGTCTGTGCGCACACTGGCTGGATGTTATTTTCGTTCGTCCGTCCATCTTCGTCCGTCCGTCCATCTTCGTCCGTCCGTCCATCTGTCCGTCCGTCCGTCTGTCCGTCTGTCCGTCCGTCTGTCCGTCTGTCCGTCTGTCCGTCTGTCCGTCTGTCCGTCTGTCTGTCTGTTCGTCTGTCTGTCTGTTCGTCTGTCTGTCTGTTCGTCTGTCTGTCCGTCTGTCCGTCTGTCCGTCTGTCCGTCTGTCTGTCCGTCTGTCCGTCTGTCCGTCCGTCTGTCCGTCTGTCTGTCTGTTCGTCTGTCCATCCGTCTGTCCGTCTGTGCGCACACTGGCTGGATGTTATTTTCGTTCGTCCGTCCATCTTCGTCCGTCCGTCCATCTTCGTCCGTCCGTCCATCTGTCCGTCCGTCCGTCTGTCCGTCTGTCCGTCCGTCTGTCCGTCTGTCCGTCTGTCCGTCTGTCCGTCTGTCCGTCTGTCTGTCTGTTCGTCTGTCCGTCCGTATGTCTGTCCGTCTGTCTGTCCGTCTGTCTGCCCTTCTGTCCGTCCGTCTGTCTGTCCGTGCGCACACTGACTGAATGTTCGACTTCAGCAGATTTTATTACCCCAAGAATATCTTTGTTCATCTTGAACGAAAAGAAAATCAGCTAAACGAAAAGAAAGTTGTTCTCAACTTGTTCAATTCTTCCTCTTTGCTTTTTGAGAAACATTTTTCTACGACATTTTGCAATTCTCTATTTTTTCTTGTTGTCAATGACAAACCAATCTGCTAAGACAATCAGAAAACAAATCCATTCAATCCATCACTTCATTGCATCATTCTTTCATTCATTTTTCGCTATTTAACTGATCTTATGCTTATTAGCCGTATTGTTTTTTTAGATTTAACCATATCTTTTTGCTCTAGTTTGAAATAATCATGTTTCATCTTTATTTATTTAAATAATGAACCGCTGTATTTAATCGTCGAAAAAATAGATGGATTTTAGAAACTGACCTTCAATTGCTTTTGTGACCTAGTTAAAACTCATTTAAAACTAAAATTGGATCATTATTCATATCTTTTGACTATTCTTTAAATACACTTTTTACCTCTAGAACTGGAGATAAAACTGGAGAACTGGAGACCTAACTTGAAAACTTTATTATAAATCAATAATTTTAAAGTTTTCAATAAGCTTGACTTTTATTGACTTTTAAAAATTGGCTTTGGATTGAAATTGAAAGATTTTAAATTGAAATCGAATTGAAATTGAATTGAAATTGAATTGAAATTGAATTGAAATCGAATTGAAATCGAATTGAAATTGAATTGAAATTGAATTGAAATCGAATTGAAATCGAATTGAAATTGAATTGAAATTGAATTGAAATCGAATTGAAATCGAATTGAAATTGATATCGAAAGATTTTAAAGGCTTTAATTGATTTAAAAGCGTTACAAATTAAAGTCTTAGATCCAAATGAAAGCTGAAAGAATGAATAAAAGAAATGAATTCATAAAAATGAATGAATGAATAAAAGAATGAATAAAAGAATGAATGAATAAAAGAGATTAGAGAGTTAGAGAGAGCGCCCATTAGAGAGTTGATCATTTTGATCATTTTGGACTTATCATTTTGATCATTTTTGACTTGTCATTTGGATCATTTTGGACTTATCATTTAGACCATTTTGGACTTATCTTTTTATCAATTTCCTCATTAAAGCTAATCTCCAGCTAGCTATAAACAAGCAGATTTCAGAAAAACAATCACATTTCAATCACATTCAATCACAATCAATTAAACGATCCATTTTTCTCGTTTAATATCTGCAAAAGTTATATTACAATATTTGCAAAAGTTTGCGTATCTAATTCACTTTCCTAAAAGACATCTATTTGAGGTAAACTACCGTAATTTCCACACCAATAGACTACGATAGTTTACAGTAGACTTCGGAAAACAAAACTTAACCAAAACCAAAACTACCAAAACTAAAACCATAACAAAACCAAAACCAAAACAAACGAAAACCAAAACCAAAACCAAAACTCGCCAATATCTCGCGACTGGGAGAAGCTAGCGAAAATCTGTTTGCAGATTTGAAATCAGCATCCAAAAATCTATCCCATAGGCTATTTTTTGTTTCGAAATTTCGAGGTCGTGTTTTGGTCCTTTTTTCGGCCGCGAGATTTTGTGGAGTGAGAAAAAGTGAAAGGCTAATTTGCATTTTACATTAAAATTTGCATTTTACAATTTTAAATTTACATTTTAATTTATATGCAAATTGAGCTTTGGTTTGTTTTGGTGTTTTGGTTTTGGTTTTGGTTTTGGTCTGTTTTGGTTTTGGTTTTGGTTTTGGTTTTGGTCTGTTTTGGTTTTGGTTTTGGTTTTGGTTTTGGTCTGTTTTGGTTTTGGTTTTGTTTGCCGAAGTCTAGTTTACAGTATTCGATTAGTATTGAAAAGGGATGAAAAGAATTTCTGAACCTAATAGCTTAACTGTTAATAAATCATCTTCTTCAGCATCTGCAAATTTCCTTTCCGTTGCATATTACTCCGCTCTTTTCACAGGTTATCCTTTTCTATTGCTATTTCTTTTCCCCATTTGATGGATGACCGAGAACTGTCTCCTTTCCTTTTTACGCGATTTTCCCTTTCTTTTTCCCTTCTTTTCCTCTTCTTTTCATCCTCTTTTCCCCTTCTTTTCCCTTCTTTTCCCTTCTTTTCCCTACTTTTCCCCTTCTTTTCCTCCTCTTTTACCCTTTCTTCAGTTGAGATAGATATCCATGAAAAGACCATCAATAGATGATGCAAACATTCTCTCCGGTCAGTCCACTCACGTGAGATTTTGTCTCCTTTTTGGTTCGAGTTTTTCTTGTTTTCTTTTCCACACCCGCTTACAGAATGATTTGACTGTAATTTCTGAATTAAAATTACCCTTCCCACCTTAACTAGTCGAAAATTGAAACTAGCTTTTGTTTTAAGTGATTTTAAAGTGATTTTAAGTTTCATTTTGAAAAAATTGAATAGAAATTGAATCTTATAGCTGAATCTAGAGCTGAGTCTATAGCTGAATCTATAGCTGAGTCTATAGCTGAGTCTATAGCTGAGTCTATGGCTGAGTCTATAGCTGATTCTATAGCTGAATCTATAGCTGAATCTATAGCTGAGTCTAGAGCTGAGTCTAGAGCTGAGTCTATAGCTGAATCTAGAGCTGAGTCTAGAGCTGAGTCTATAGCTGAGTCTATAGCTGATAGCTAAATCTATAGCTGAAATTGGATCTTATAACTAGTTCAATACTTTTACTCTCGTTTACAAGTTAATTCTCTTTTTGATTCATTTACAAATGATCAGATTCCAATCAAATTACAGATAATCTAACAAAAATCATTTCAAAATTGAAGTCTTTCCCCATTCCTTGACTACTTCTAGGTTTAAACTCATCTTTTTCATCGTTTCAAACTTCGAAATCACTATTCAGCCGAATATTTACGATATTTGTCTCTTTTTCTTATTCTAAAGTGCTTTTTGCTCTAACAAATTTGTCAAGCAGACTCTTAAAATCGAAATTTTCAAGTTTTTTCAAGTCGGAAATTTCGAATTTCTCCAAATTATCATCAGACAATGTTTTCGATGACATCACCCATAGAAAGACACAAAGATAACCATCAAAAAGAGTGCAAAAAAGTGCAAAAAAAACTCTTTCCACATACTTTATTCAACAAATGAAATAAGTGGAGCAAAATTTGCACAGAATAGAAAAACGGGAAAAGAGTAATTGTCATGTAATTGTCAAAGAATTGTCAAAGAATTTTTTCAATATTTCCTCTTTTCGAGGCGATTCTTTTTTTCCTATCAATTCTCGAGTTTTTCTCTTTTTTTTCATTCAGTGGTTGCTAATCAATAATCAATCTTTTGCAAAAATTAGATGCCAAAAGTTTTGATCGCCGGCGCCGGGTTGGTTGGCGCGCTGAACGCATGCTATTTCGCGCAAAAGGGATGGGATGTCGAGGTGTACGAGTTTCGGCCAGGTTTCTTCTTTTCTTTTGTTTCTTTTGCCAGGTTTGCAGGTTTCTTTTGCATGAATTGAATAATTGAATAACTGATAGCCAGGCAAAACCATAGCCAGGCAAAACCATAGCCAGGCAAAACCTGAGCCAAGCAAAACCATAGCCAGGCAAAACCATAGCCAGACAAAACCATAGCCAGACAAAACCATAGCCAGGCAAAACCATAGCCAGGCAAAACCTGAGCCAAGCAAAACTATAGCCAAGCAAAACTATAGTCAGGCAAAACCATAGCCAGACAAAACCATAGCCAGACAAAACCATAGCCAGGCAAAACAAAACCAGTTTGGCTGGCTTTGCTAGTCAACCTGACAAGACAGGTTTATCTTGTCAGGCTTTAAAGCATTGCTTGATCTTGATCTGGTTTGGCTTCATTGCAAGATCATTGTAAGTTCGTGGCCAAGTTCTTGGGCCCATCAGAGATCAGGCTTTAGCTTGGCTTTTAGCTCAACTGGTTGGCTTTTAGCTTAACTGGTCGGTTTGGCTTGCTGCAGACTCTAGAGCTCTAGATTCTACACTGAACCAGGCTTCTGGTTAGACTTGACTTGGATCCAAGCACACTTTTCAACTTGCAACTTTTCAACTGCAACTGCAACTGCTTTCAACTCGCGTCTGGGCTCGCTTGCAGGCCTTAGGCTTGTAATTATCGATAAAATGTGTTAGATAGGCTACAAAGACATCATTTTATACATCTTTTTATTAATGGATAATCAGATGATCGCCTTTTAATTGAAACTTTCAATTGTTTATTTGATTTTTTTTCAAAAAGTATTGTTCGGAATACAATAGTCGGAATAAATTGAAAACAAACTGGTAATTGTACAAAGTACAAAACTTATAAGATAATCATTGACATTTAGATATCCGAAAAATGGAGCACGTTCCCGGACGGAGTATCAATTTGGCGCTCTCCGATCGGGGGAAAGCCGCTTTAGAGGGAGTGGGGTTGAAGGAATACATCGTTCAACAAGGTTGGCCGCAAAATTTTGATCATTTCAAAGTGTAAACTCTAACTGAAATCGATTATTTGTGTCGTAGCCGTTTCACGAAATTCAGCCGTTTACGAATCCTGTTTACGTTTACGATTACGAACGAATGGTGCTTCCGGGCATCCAATCAAAAAGTTATCAACATAAAAAACGTTTATAATACATAGATTTTATAATAAATTTTTCAAATTAGCTCATTTAGTTTAATAGAAAAATTTTTTTTAGCCCTCAAAGTTTAGGTTCAAGAATGGCTATAAAAAATTTTCTAATCAGCCAAAAAACTTAGCAAATAGCTTATTTTGTAACCAATTTGATGTAGATTCTTAAAGTAAAGCAATCTAAAATAATTGTTGGTTGAAAGTAGGAGGAAGAGGGCGAGAAACAATTTCAGGGCAATTCTCAAATGTGAAAATAGCGACCGAGTCGAGTAGAGATGTTAATAACTTTTTGATTAGATGCCCGGAAGCACCATTTTTTCACTAAAGTTCAAACGTTTACAAAATTTTTATTTTAAAAGCAATTTAATGAAAGTAAAAACCAGTAGAATCTATATGCTAACAAGGAAGGAAGGTCATAGGGAAGATGACAAGGGTGATATCATGAGCATATAGTATAATAGCGTCGGTGAGTATATATGACATGAGCCATATATACTCACCGACGTAAAGTTTTGCGCTGATTCCGAGTCTGCTTTCCGTTTTTACAAAATGCAACTCTATCAAAAGTTATAAGCCTGTAAAGTCTTGTATGGGATTTCAAAAATCCTCCCTCGTGTCTATATGTCGTAGCCGATTATGAATGAAATTTTTTGGAAAATCTTTCTGGTAGAGCAACCCTTTAATGTATGAGGACAATATTATATCATCCTGTAGCGAATTCAATTCTGCGTCGATTGGTACCAAATTTGTGAGTTTAGGCTAAAAATTGCCGGCGCTACAACGTTTCATTCAAAATCGGCGGGATCCCCGTAGCCGATTATGAATGAGTGGGTCTAAAGGCGTCCAACAATCAAGTATTTGGTATCATTCAACGCAGAATCATTGATAATTATGTTAAATTTTTAAAATTAGCGAGATTTGATAAAAAGAAAAAGAATTAGAGCAAAAAAACTTTTTGTTCAAGAGAAAACTTTGAAGCCCCATAATTTTTTTTTCTTTTTATCCAATCCTTCTAATTTAAAAAATTTAACATAATTATTAATGATTCTGCGTTGAATGATACTAAATACTTGATGGTTGGACGCTCATAGACCCACTCATTCAAAATCGGCTGAAATTCATAATCGGCTACGACATATACATGATTGCCATCGTTTGGCTAACTTTTCAATTCCTAAAGCGTAGAACGCGGGCTCCATTGAATCGATAAACTCCTTGATGCCATTTACTCAAATACATAAAAAGAACCAAGAATCAATAAGCATCTGCAGCCGCGTAGGCGACGCCGGAAAGTGAGACCCACAAATACGACATTAATTTTTTCTGTACCTAATATTCTAATTTAGTTGTGGCATTAAGTGGCACTCTGGCGTTGAGTGGCACTCTGGCGTTGAGTGGCACTCTGGCGTTGAGTGGCACTCTGGCGTTGAGTGGCACTCTGGCATTGAGTGGCACTCTGGTATTGAGTGGCAATTTTGTGGACTCGAATGGGGACTCGAACCCGGCTGATTTGAGCCGTAGATAAGCAGTGCTCCCGAGCGCACGACGGTGACACAAATTTTGCATTCAGGCGTTCCCCTTTATGGTCGTTTGGTGCACGATAAAGACGGGAAAACATTTCATCGAATTCCCTATGGACAGCCCGGTCAAGTGAGTTTAATATTGAAAATGAAACCTACAAAACTTCTTCAGCATATCGTTTCGATAAATCGTCGCCATCTCAACGAGGTGATGATCACGTTGGCTGAGAAGAGCCCGAATGTGCGTTTCTTCTTCGAACACAAAGTCAAATCGGTGAATGTCGAGAAGCAAGAGTTGACTGTGATTTGGTGAGTTGAAACAAAAAAGAAAGGAGGAAAAGATTGGAGAGATTGGAGAGATTGGAGAGCAAAAGATCATTCTCATTATTGGGCATTACAGGCGAAAAGAATCGTTGTTCAAGTTGAAACAGAAAACCTTTCGAAACCTTTTACTTGACTCAATTCTATTGGGTTGGTGAATTGAAAACTGGCTATTGCCATATGTGACAGTTTGAGCACTTTCATCAAAAGAAACCCATTTTGGTGTCAATGGAAAAGTTGTAGAGAATCAAAAATCAAGCTTATACCCAAATTTCCAAAAAGATACACTTAGTAGTTCCGCTTAAAATTTGTGTTCTATGTGTTCTTTGTGCGGCCGCGTAATCGCTCGTCGTCTGGCGCAGGGCTTTAACATAACCCCCTGCCCTTTCTGCCCTCCAATCTCTTCCGACCATTTCCAAATCTTCAAATTCGACATTGACTTCTCCTCAAATCAAGGCTAATCTCAATCTATTGGGTTGGTGAATCGAAAAACCGCCGGCTATTGTCATATGTGAGAGTTTGAGCACTTTTTTTCAAAAGAAATCCATTTTGGTGTCAATGGAAAAGTTGTAGAGAATCAAAAATCGAGCTTAAATCCAAATTTTCAGAACAATTCAAAAACTGCTTTTCAAGAAATGCCAAATTTACGAATTTTCACAAAACTTGCAACAAAACTTGCATTTTAAGCGAAACTACTAAGTGTATCGTTTTGGAAATTTCGCTATAAGCCTAATTTTTGATTCTCTACAGCTTTTCTATTGACACCAAAATGGGTTTCTTTTGCAGAAAGTGCTCAAATGCTCAAATGCTCAAACTGGGACATCTCCAGTCCTCCATTCTTGAGCCTCACACTTGTCTCACACACAAACCAAAACTACGGAAAAGGAATCCGCAAATTGCCTGTAAAATGGGCAGAAGTCGTCAATAATAATGGAAATTATTTGGAATGAATTTATGGTTTTATGTTGAATAAATTTTAGTTCAAAGTCCCGCAGTTTTCAATTCACCAACCCAATATTTAGTAATTTAAAGTTTAAAAGGCGTTAAAGCTCGGGAAATTCTCTATTTTAAAGTCGCTTAGGGAAATTTCTAAAGTCAGGTTAAATGAGAGTGTCAAGGTCATGTATTAAATATATTAAAACATATTCTCAACTAAAAACTATGCGTCATTTGAAACTTGAACTTTGAAAAAGTTGTTTTGTTTTATAACAAGTTGCTTTAAATGGTTAATGGTTAAGATTCATGCTTTAAATGATGATTTTTTCAAACTTAAAACTCATGCAAATCGCAAGTTCAAACTACAGTACTGGAAAATGAAATATCATTGTTTGAAAAACGATCGTCACGTTCGCGCGTCTGTAACTTTTTCTTGTCTTTGAGTTTAATTAGTGTTATACATTTTCTGAAAGCTCTTTTCAAGGACTACACAATGGTAATATTAATATTTAGAAATACGATAAAGACAAGGGAGTTACAGACGCGCGAAAGTGACGAGCGTTTTTCAAATATTGTCCAGTACTGTACATCTTAAAAGCGCAAAATCGATGAATCTATTTTCAGCGATGGAATCGAATTGACCCAAAAAGCGGAGCTGATTCTTGGCTGTGATGGAGCCTATTCGGCGGTGCGCCGGAGTCTAGCAGCCTACCCAAGGCAAGCTTAAAGCTAAAGTTTGCTAAAAAATGCTAAAATTTGCCGAATTTTATGAGCTAAACTAGCATAGGATTAGGTTAATAAATAGCATTAACCAGCGCTTAGAAAATAAGATTGAAAAGTCGCGAAAAAAGAGCCGATTTTCACCGATTTTCAATCACTTTTTTCTAAGTGCTGGTTAGCGCTAAAATGCTGTGTTATATTTCAAAAAGTCACCTATTCTCTCTACTTTAATTTGATATTTAAGCGCGCAGAAATAAACGTACTAGCGTCGAGATATGAGCGTTTTTTTTGAGAGTAAACTTAGAATTATAGTGGTCGTTCTATGGATTTTTACGGTAATATTTTATGAAAAAATTCTCCAAAGCTGAGCTTAGGGCTGAGGTTAGGGTTGAGCTTAGAGCTGAGCTTAGGGCTGAGCATAGAGCTGAGCTTAGGGCTGAGTTTATAGCTGAGCTTATAGCTGAGCTTAGGACAAGGCATAGGACTGAGCTTAGAGCTGAGCTTAGGACTAGGCTAGGACTGAGCTTAGGACTGAGCTTAGGACAAGGCTTAGGACTGAGCTTAGAGCTGAGCTTAGGACTGAGCTTAGGACAAGGCTTAGGACTGAGCTTAGAGCTGAGCTTAGGACTGAGCTTAGGACAAGGCTTAGGACTGAGCTTAGAGCTGAGCTTAGGACTGAGCTTAGGACAAGGCTTAGGACTGAGCTTAGAGCTGAGCTTAGGACTGAGCTTAGGACAAGGCTTAGGACTGAGCTTAGAGCTGAGCTTAGGACTGAGCTTAGGACAAGGCTTAGGACTGAGCTTAGAGCTGAGCTTAGGACTGAGCTTAGGACAAGGCTTAGGACTGAGCTTAGAGCTGAGCTTAGGACTGAGCTTAGGACAAGGCTTAGGACTGAGCTTAGAGCTAAGGTTAGGACTGAGCTTTTAATACGAAAAGCATTTCATTGCATTTTATTAGTAATAAACAATCAGTGAGCAATAAAATTTCTCAACTTTTTGAAACTAAAATTTCTCAAAACTAAGAATAAGCTCAATTTTAAGGGTTGAAAATTTGTTGTCTTTTTTTTAGATTCGACTTTGCTCAAGAATACATCGAACATGGCTATGTAGAATTGAACATTTTGCCGAAAAACAAAGATGTGAGTGTAAAGAATCGATAAGTTTTTTGAAAAATCAAATTTTGTACGCATGAAAGCATAATTTTTGATATTATAATAGTCAAATATTTATTGTAAATTTGTTAAATTTGTTAAATTCGCTAAATTCCCTAAATTTTTGAATGTTTAATTTGAAATTGGAATTAAAAACGGAAAAAAACATTTACTTTAAAATGAGCTAGGGAAAATGAGGCTCAAATTTTTGATGCTAGATATTTCATCTCAAGCTTTTATTGGGCATTAGACTTTTCAAAACACAATCATGAAGTAAAAACTTGAAACTTTAACTTTTCAAAAATCGTCATAGAACTAAATTCTCTTAAAATTTGAAAGTAAAAGCGAATTTTAAGTAAAAACATTATACCGGGTGGCTGATTAGTTTTGTCGCTTGCTTGAATGCGTGTTATTCCTCAAATTTAGCTCCAAATCTCATGAGTATCGTAACAAAATGTTGCTTAGAGTCTAGAGAATCTAAATTTATGCATGGTTTTTCACTGTGAAAGATTTTATTGCGATTATTGTTAGAAAACGTTTCTGGTTCATTTATAAGTGCAACGCTATTTAAGACAAGTGATTGAGAAGAGGGTCCGCTCAGGGGCGCTTTGGTCGCACAGTTACAGGGCACAGTTACAGGGCACATCTACAGGGCACAGTTACAGAGCACAGTTACAGGGCACAGTTACAGGGCACAGTTACAGGGCACATCTACAGGGCACAGTTACAGAGCACAGTTACAGGGCACAGTTACAGGGCACAGTTACAGGGCACATCTACAGGGCACAGTTACAGAGCACAGTTACAGGGCACAGTTACAGGGCACAGTTACAGGGCACAGTTACAGGGCACATCTACAGGGCACAGTTACAGAGCACAGTTACAGGGCACAGTTACAGGGCACAGTTACAGGGCACATCTACAGGGCACAGTTACAGAGCACAGTTACAGGGCACAGTTACAGGGCACAGTTACAGGGCACATCTACAGGGCACAGTTACAGAGCACAGTTACAGGGCACAGTTACAGGGCACAGTTACAGGGCACATCTACAGGGCACAGTTACAGAGCACAGTTACAGGGCACAGTTACAGGGCACAGTTACAGGGCACAGTTACAGGGCACATCTACAGGGCACAGTTACAGAGCACAGTTACAGGGCACAGTTACAGGGCACATCTACAGGGCACAGTTACAGGGCACATCTACAGGGCACAGTTACAGGGCACAGTTACAGGGCACAGTTACAGGGCACATCTACAGGGCACAGTTACAGAGCACAGTTACAGGGCACAGTTACAGGGCACATCTACAGGGCACAGTTACAGGGCACATCTACAGGGCACAGTTACAGGGCACAGTTACAGGGCACAGTTACAGGGCACATCTACAGGGCACAGTTACAGAGCACAGTTACAGGGCACAGTTACAGGGCACAGTTACAGGGCACATCTACAGGGCACAGTTACAGAGCACAGTTACAGGGCACAGTTACAGGGCACAGTTACAGGGCACATCTACAGGGCACAGTTACAGAGCACAGTTACAGGGCACAGTTACAGGGCACAGTTACAGGGCACAGTTACAGGGCACATCTACAGGGCACAGTTACAGAGCACAGTTACAGGGCACAGTTACAGGGCACATCTACAGGGCACAGTTACAGGGCACATCTACAGGGCACAGTTACAGGGCACAGTTACAGGGCACAGTTACAGGGCACATCTACAGGGCACAGTTACAGAGCACAGTTACAGGGCACAGTTACAGGGCACATCTACAGGGCACAGTTACAGGGCACATCTACAGGGCACAGTTACAGGGCACAGTTACAGGGCACAGTTACAGGGCACATCTACAGGGCACAGTTACAGAGCACAGTTACAGGGCACAGTTACAGGGCACATCTACAGGGCACAGTTACAGGGCACATCTACAGGGCACAGTTACAGGGCACATCTACAGGGCACAGTTACAGGGCACAGTTACAGGGCACAGTTACAGGGCTCATGTCTGACAAAATGTTGCTAAGAGTCTAGAGAATATCTATGCATGGGATTTTTGAGAAAATCACTGTGAAAGATTTTATTGCGATTTTTGTGCTTCCAAGAACAACACTTTGCCCAAAATCAATTCTAAGCTTCTCATAGAAGTAGAACTTTTATTTATTGATAATACTTTATTCAGATGATAAAGTGAAACTTAATAAATCATAGGGAAATGCAAGTGGGTCATAAATGTAGAGAAAGAAAAGATACGAAGATACAAGATAAGTAGAAAATCTAAATAATTAGATTGCCTAGATCTAGAGCCTCTATTTGTTTCTTGAAAATGGAAATTGGTTGAATTTCTCTAATTTGAGAGCAAGTTCCATAACCATAGCTTTAACGGGAAATTTGTTTGATAAAGAAGCGCTTAGATAAAGTTAGATAAAGATAAAGAAGCGTTAAAGGGATCTGCAAAAGGAATGAACCACTTCTGGACTCTGAAAATGTTGCTAAGAGTCTAGAGAATCTAAATCTATGCATGAATTTTTGAGAAAATCACTGAGAATTTTGTAGAGATCACATAAATGTAGAGAAAAGAAAGTTACGAAGATACAAGATAGAGTGAAAATGTAAATATTGGGTTGATGCATAATTATCCGGACTTCTTTTATAAATGATTTTATTTAACAAAAAATAACATAAATAGTTAGAAAAATATGTTTAATTGATTATTCTGGAGCATATTCACATCAATAACTGATTGCCATTTGCTTGGAAGACGATCGATTCCACGAGCGAAGAATAAACGATCTTTGGAGGCAATCCACGCTTTAACATCGTCTATCAAGTCATCCAAATCGTTGTAGATCTTATTTGTTTGCCAATTTTTGAGCGATCGATTGACGTGGTAGTCCGTTGGGGCTTCTCCAGTTCTTTGAGATCGCGAAACGACTCTGCGGCAGACCATCCCTTTTCGAAGTGGTAGAGCATGATATGGCGAAGATGGATATGATTGTCGACACGCATTTTGTTCACTAAAGAATAACGAATATTTAAAAAAAAGAAATAGACAAAAAGCTTTCAAAACAAAAAAGATACAAGCACGCAAAAAGAAGTCCGGATAATTATGCATCAACCCAATAATTAGATTACCTAGATCCAGAGCCTCTATTTGTTTCTTGAAAATGGGAAATTGACTGAATTTCTCGTCTGTAATTTGAGAGCAAGTTCCATAAGCATAACCATAGCTTTAACGGGAAATTAGTTTGATAAAGAAGCGCTAAAGGGATCTGCAAAAGGAATGCATTTTGGACTGGACACTTCAAGACTCTGATCTCGGGTTAAATTTTAAAAAACTCAACATAAAAAGGGTTAAATATCCAGCGAAGTTTTCAATTATGACTTCAAAATGTTTACCTAAACGCTTTCTTGCTGAAATCATTTAGAATTTGACTCAAAATAATGATTTTTAGTAATAATGATTTCAAAGAAATGATAATGTTCTTTGTGGCCCTCATTTTTCTCTTCTTTCAGTTTGCATTGGAGCCGAATGCTTTCCATTTGTGGCCACGCGGTGACTACACGATGATCGCTTTGGCGAATAGAGTGATTTTTCATTATTAGTGATTTCATTAAATTCTATATTACTTCAAATTTTCCTATTTTCAGCTTTCAATCAATTACAAGCATGTAAACGTCAAAAAAAAGCCGAAAATTGAATATCTTTTGATTTTCAAAGCAAAAACAAAAGCGATGCGCTGAGCGGAAAAGAAAAATCGCAAAAAAACATAGCTACTAGAAAAATTTGTTGACTTTTTCTTTGATAAAGATACTCAATTTTTCGCTTTCTTTTCTGCTTGCAACCTGCTTTGAATAGATAGCTTTGAATAGATAGCTTGCAATAGATAGCTTTCAAGAGATAGCTTTCAATAGATAGCTTACAATAGATAGCTTTCAATAGATAGCTTTCAATAGAATTCAAGGTTCTCATGGCTCTCATACATCTACAGCGACTTAGCTCGACTTCTTCGTCACAATATACAACCAAAAATTCGCATATCAAAGAATTCGCCTATCGCATTTCCATAACGTGCATTTGTCACAAATCAAATTCGATTTAGATCCAAATTTCTGGGATTAAAAGGAAAAAAATTCGCTTCGCAATCGCACGCTCTCAGCTTTCAATAGATAGCTTACAATTCAATCGCAATCGCACGCTCTCAGCTTTCAATAGATAGCTTACAATTCAATCGCAATCGCACGCTCTCAGCTTTCAATAGATAGCTTACAATTCAATCGCAATCGCACGCAATCGCACGCTTCTTATAAGTTTGCGAAAAAACGAACTAAAGATGGTTTATCTTCAAAATTTCAAACATTTTCAGCATTTATGCTAAAGCCTTGAAATGCAAACTAGAGATTGAAGCAAATTAGAGATGTGAAAGACAAATTAAAGATTAAAGCCCATGAAAACTGACTACATTCGAATATTTTCTTGAAATTCCCAGGACCACACCTTCACCGTCACCATTTTCGCTCCATTTCGCGTTTTCGAGGAGCAAATGTCAAACGACTCGGATATCATCAAGTTTTTTGAGGAGAATTTCCACGATGCATTGGAGCTGATGGGAAGGTGGGCGACTGGTAGACATGCTAATTTTTTTTGCCTAAATTCTAGTCACTACTCAGCGCAAAATCATTAACATAACAAACATCACTCAGAAAAAAATTAAATCAAGTTCACCACTGAATTACCCTATCTAGATAGCTACTATATAAAGCAGAAGAGACGTCTGTCCGTCTGTGCGCAGCCATTGGCAAGAAGGGGCAGGGCTTAGATCGTCTGTCTGTTCATCTGTTCGTCTGTCCGTCTATGCGCAGTCATTGGCAAAAAGGAGCCGAGCTTAGATTGTCCGTCTGTCCGTCTATGCGCAGTCATTGGCAAAAATGGGCGTGACTTAGATTGTCCGTCTGTCCGTCTGTCCGTCCGTTCGTCTGTACGCAGCCATTGGCAAAAAGGGGCGGGTCTTAGATCGTCTGTCTGTTCATCTGTTCGTCTGTCCGTCTATGCGCAGTCATTGGCAAAAAGGGGCCGAGCTTAGATTGTCCGTCTGTCCGTCTATGCGCAGTCATTGGCAAAAATGGGCGTGACTTAGATTGTCCGTCTGTCCGTCTATCCGTCCGTCCGTCTGTGCGCAGCCATTCGCAAAAAGGGGTCGAGCTTAGATTGCGCGGAAAACGTGGAGCTTGCCAGTGGAAAACGTTAGTGATTAGCGTTAGCGAACGCATTTCCGCTAATTTAGATCGATAATTGAATAGTTTTAAATGATTTAAAAGAATAAAAAGCTACAATATGCACAAAACTGATTAGTTGTTGAACTATTTCTGATCGGATCGGACCCGAAATCGCAACTTTTCGGATTGGATCGGGTCGGATCGCGATCCGAGGGCCGACTCGATCCAATCCGATCCAATCCGATCCAATCCGATCCAATCCGATCCAATCCGATCCAATCCGATCCGATTTAATCCATCGGATAGCTTGTCTAATGACTGAAGTTGTTTTTTCATTAGTTTACATCCCAAAAGCATTAAACCTTGCTCTATAAGGAGATTTTGTGCTCTCAAAAGAAGCATGTTTCAAAGCTAGGTTTCTCTGGTGAACTCATTCAACTCCAGTCCGCAGCTTTTTCTTATTTCTAACTTTTAGCTTACTTTCAGACAAATTTTTCGCTTATCCCGACAGCTTTGCAACTATTGAAAGCATTTAGAGCTCACGTTCTCGAAACTTTCCACCGAGTGCGCCCCCAATCGCTTGTCTCGATAAAAGTTGGTTTCAAAGTTTGATTGTTATCAAAAAAAAATTGAAGAAAAGCTGAATTTACTCTTAGTTCACCATTACAAATCAAATTTTGTGCATTTTATTTTCAGCCTACTTTTAGTTTATTTTAGTTTTCACTTTTAATTTCAAATTGACTTTTGATAAGATAAAACGAAATGTTTGTTTCAAAAATTGCTAGTTTCAGATTTTAGCTGGTCGAGGCTTTATTTATCTCAATACAATCAACACATTTCCCTGAAAATAACAAAAACTTTCCAATGAATCCAATCAATCAAATCAGAATCTCTTTTTTATAAGTTTAGATTTAATATCTATTGGATTGGTGAATCGAAAAACCGCCGGCTATTCTCATATGTGACAGTTTGAGCACTTTCTTCAAAAGAAACCCATTTTGGTGTCAATGGAAAAGTTGTAGAGAATCAAAAATCAAGCTTATATTCAAATTTCCAAAAAGATACGCTTAGTAGTTCCGCTTAAAATGCAAGTTTTAATGCAAGTTCCGCTTAAAATTTGTGTTCTGTGTGTTCTTTGTGCGGCCGCGTAATCGCTCGTCGTCTGGCGCAGGGTTTTAACATAACCCCCTGCCCTCTCTCCTGTCCAATCTCTTCCGGCCGTTTCCGAATCTTCAAATTCGACATTGACTTCTCCGCAAATCAAGGCTAATCTCAATCTATCGGGTTGATGAATTGAAAACTGCTGGCTATTGTCATATGTGACAGTTTGAGCACTTTCTTCAAAAGAAACCCATTTTGGTGTCAATGGAAAAGTTGTAGAGAATCAAAAATCAAGCTTATATCCAAATTTTCAGAACGATTCAAAAACTGGTTTTCAAGAAATGCCAAATTTACGAATTTTCACAAAACTTGCAACAAAACTAGCATTTTAAGCGAAACTACTAAGTGTATCGTTTTGGAAATTTCGCTATAAGCCTAATTTTTGATTCTCTACAGCTTTTCTATTGACACCAAAATGGGTTTCTTTTGCAGAAAGTGCTCAAATGCTCAAACTGGGACATCTCAAGTCCTCCATTTTTGAGCCTCACACTTGTCTCACACATACATCTCAGTAATTTCTTAGAAAAAGTGAATGGTAACTGAGCATGAATTTTCTTGGCATAAAAAAATGACTGCATTTTACTAGTTGCCTAGTACAAGTTACCTGCTTTTAAGACACTATAAACTAAAACAAATGACCAACTGTCACTTCAAACGCTTCTGACTTGCTTCAAATCTGCTGGATTAATATGACCTATAGCTCAAAAAATAGAGAATCTCAAGAGCTTTCAAATGGGGTAAAGCACACCAAAAAATATCAATTCTAAAGAAAGTTACAGTGGTTTATAGCCAGACTCAATCACTTTGACTACAAACCACTGTAACTTTCTTTAGAATTGATATTTTTTGGTGTGCTTTACTCCATTTGAAAGCTCTTGAGATTCTCTATTTTTTGAGCTATAGGTCATATCGATCCAGCAGAGTTGAAGCAAGTCAGAAGCGTTTGTAGTTTACGTTTGTAGTTTGTAGTGCCCATGTCTACTGCTTATCCTTTTTTTAGTGCAAACCGCATCACTTTGGCAAATCGGTGTTGTTAACGGGCGACGCGGCGCATGCAATGGTTCCCTTTTATGGACAAGGCATGAATTGTGTGAGTTACTCAAATTTCTCCAAAAAAATTCTTTGTTTTCTCAGTTTTTGCTTACTTTTAAAAAGTATTTCCCTTTTTAAAAGGTAAATTTGAAAGCAAAATGACTCTATTTGAGTCTCTAAAAGCTTTTCAAAGCTAAAGGGTTCAGCTAAAAGTTTGATGTTTCAAAATTATGATATCCTTGGCAACGGTTGGGTCATCAATTAGAACCAGAGTTGAATCTAGAGTTGAATCCAGATTGAATTCAGATTGGATCTAGATTTGAATCCAGATTTGAATCTAGATTGAATCCAGATTGAATCCAGATTTGAATCCAGATTGAATCCAGATTTGAATCCAGATTGAATCCAGATTGAATCCAGATTGAATCCAGATTTGAATCTAGATTTGAATCTAGATTGAATCCAGATTGAATCCAGATTGAATCCAGATTTGAATCTAGATTTGAATCTAGATTGAATCCAGATTGAATCCAGATTGAATCCAGATTTGAATCTAGATTTGAATCTAGATTGAATCCAGATTGAATCCAGATTGAATCCAGATTGAATCTAGATTGAATCTAGATTTGAATCTAGATTTGAATCCAGATTGAATCCAGATTTGAATCTAGATTTGAATCTAGATTTGAATCCAGATTGAATCCAGATTGAATCTAGATTGAATCTAGATTTGAATCCAGATTGAATCCAGATTTGAATCCAGATTTGAATCCAGATTGAATCCAGATTGAATCCAGATTTGAATCCAGATTTGAATCTAGATTTGAATCTAGATTGAATCCAGATTGAATCCAGATTGAATCTAGATTGAATCTAGATTTGAATCCAGATTGAATCCAGATTTGAATCCAGATTTGAAAAATCCATTAATCTGTTTAAATTTTTCCAATTCTGAGAAGAAAATTCGATTCTAATGTCAAAAGTTCAACAAAATTGCATAAAGAATTTTACTGTTTTAAAAATTTATTGAAAAAAGGCGCTCCTTTGAGAAAAATTGAGAAAGATAATTGAAAAAGAAGAAAAATTTAAAGAAAAACCTTTTTTAGTAAGATTTAGGAACTACTTTTTTTACTTTTTTGCTTTTTTTTAGTGAGATTTTATGGTTTTCCATTTGTAAAATAGATGTTAAAGTGTAACTTTAACTACCGGATTTACGGATCGAATAGAAGACCGGAACTACCGGATCGAATAGAAGACCAGAACTACCGGATCGAACAGTAGACCGGAACTACCGGATCGAACAGAAGACCGATTTTCTATTTTTTTGCAATCAGCCCCTAGACTTGGTCTTCTATTCAAGACCGTCTTCGATTAGGTACATGCATAAGAAATGCGGATTTCAACATTCTCATAAATTTCCAACGATAGAATCCAACCAAACCTGATATCGATGAATGTTATATGTTATAATGTTATAAACTATTTGAAAGTTGTAAATCTCCTCTACAAAATAGGCTAAAAAGTGTTTCAATTGATCGAACGATTGAAGAAATTTCGTGGGTGAAATGCGAGTAACCAAAAAAGGAATCGAGTCACTCTGGGGACAAGTTTAGTGTGCTCAAAATAGAGTTAGCTTCCCAAAGTTGAAGATTTAAACAAAAAAGATATCTGTATATGAATTCATTAAAAAAAGTAAAAAAAAAACAATGATAATGATAATGATTATGATGATTATCATGGTGAGAATTATCAGGCCATTAACCGAGTCTCGCCTTAATCCATCTACCCAATTTTGAAACTTGAACATTCTCGTGGTGGTGCTAAATGTGTTAATGTGATTTACTCATTCAAAAAACTCGATAAAATCACAAATTGCTTTTTTGCAAAGTTGCAAAGTTTTTTAGAAGATAGCTAAATCAAAAAAGGAGGACGGCTTGTTGATTCTAGACGCTTTAGTTATGTCAAATTTCTTTAGAAATCTATCTTTAGGTAAATAGATAAAATATAGAGCACAAAAAAAAGCAGGTCGAGGCCGGTCTTCTACTCGAGTAAATACGATAATTCAAATATTTCTCTACCTTTTCAGGGTTTCGAGGATTGCTTAGTCCTCTCGGAGATCATCGATCAACACGCGAATGATATCCCGAAAGCTTTAAGGTTTCTTTTTTGCATAGAAATCGTTTAGAGGAAGGAAGCTTTGTGCCAAAAAAAGTGCCAAGCTTTGTGCCAAGAAAGTTATTCATTTTTCAGCATTTAAATAGAATTGTTTAGCCTTGAGCAAGAAATTTAGCGAACTTTTTCTATTGAATCAACTGGAATTATGACTTTTTATTTGACTATTTGAGTATATTTGACTTTTTGAGCAATTTGAAATACAAGTACAAGCTTTACAAGCTTCTAAATTTAAATTCATTCAAAAAATTTGAAATCAAAACGATTCTAAATTGAGATTTTGATATTGTAAACCGATTTAAAATGAAATTTCGATATTGTAAATTGTTTTGTTTTGATTTTTGTTTTGTTTTTCAGAGTTTACTCCGAAACGCGAGTCAAAGATGCGCACAATATCATCGATTTGGCTATGTACAATTATGAGGAGGTAAAAGAAAAATGGGTTTCAAAATGAGTTCCAAAATTTACCTATAAACTACCGTAATCTGGCCGCCATTTTTCATAAGATTAGTAGAAAATTTGGTATCATTCGATGTGAAATTAAAAGACTCATTCAATGATCCCAAAATTGGGGTGATTGAATGGAAATTGGCTGGATTACGGGGCTAAAATAAGGGCCTTTTAGAAGAGCATAAGTCTCAATGACGTCACTCTTGAACTCATTTCCAGTTGAAAGATCTTGTCAATCACACCTCGTACAAGTTGCGTAAGAAGTTGGATCTCATCTTGAATCGGTGAGTTTCAAGAAAAGCTGTTCAGCAATTCTTTTCTTTTCATACTTTCGTTGAAAAATAACATCGTATTCTAGCTAATAGTAGTGCACTACGCTGAGCCGAGTTGATGCCCATTTTACAGTTTCTTAGTTTTCACAGAAGCTCAACACTCTAATCCCTAGCAAGATCTCATTGTCATCTACATTTTCCGACCCCACATCGTTAGGTTCTGATAAGCGGTTCTCGAGATTTCGAGAAATTTCGAGAATTTAGGCAACGCTCAGGGTGCACTACTATTAGAGCGAATACAGTATGTAGCCTAACTGTAAAAAAGCTTATCTTAACTGTAAAGTTATCTGTGAAATTGTAAAGAAACTAAAAAAGTGCGTTTTTCAAATGATTAGCTGAATATCTTATCTGTAAAATCTGTGAAATTATAAAGAAATTTATTGTTTGTTCAAGTATTTAATTTTTTTTGAATACAACACAATTTCCCTGACATCTTTTCATAAATCTTTACTGCTGGTTACAAGCTGACAAATGTTTTCCTGACAAAAACAAAGATTTCTATGATCATGTCCGCTGATGTTTATCAGAAAATCATTTACCGTATTTTCGCTAATAGTAGTGCACCCCCGGTGAGCCGAGTTGGTGACTGTTTTACGGTTTCCAAGCTTTCGCAGAAGCTCAACACTCAAATCCCCCACTAGATCTCATCGTCAGCTACATTTTCCGACCCCACATCGCTAGGTTCTGATAAGCGGTTCTCAAGATTTCGAGCAATTTAGACAACGCTCAGAGTGCACTACTATTAGAGAGAATACAGTAATTACCAATTAACCTATGTTTGAGGCAAAGCAATGTTTGAGGTTTAATGCTTGAGGCAAAGCAAAAACCTCATCTTTGAATGCCTCAGTGTTCTTTACAGAAACAATTACTTTTGTAGTTCAAAAATTTCCCTCAAATGGTTATCCGGGGCTTAAAAGGGTATTCTGGTCTCAAAAGTGATTTCCTAGAAGCATATATAGCAACTAATATACCGTATTCTAGCTAATAGTAGTGCACTACGCTGAGCCGAGTTAATGCCCATTTTACAGTTTCTAAGTTTTCCCAGAAGCTGAACACTCAAATCCCCAGTAAGAGCTCATCGTCATCTACATTTTCCGACCCCACATCGTTAGGTTCTAATAAGCGGTTCTCAAGATTTCGAGCAATTTAGGCAACGCTCAGGGTGCACTACTATTAGAGAGTATACGGCAAACGTTTAAAAAATAGGTGTTTGAAATTGGTCATAGCCAACCGAGAAATGTTTGCTTTAATTCGTCTCTTAGACTTAGGCTTAAAAAAATACCGACTGGGGCTACCAGTGGTGAATTTATCGCATACACGAAATATATCAATCACAATACAACGACACACACAATACTAGGCTATATCTTAACTTAACCCACGTCATGACAGACGGCTCCCTAACCCTAAGCTCAATGGGGAACTAAATAGCTTTTTTGGTGGTGAAGGGAAGATGACGATGAAGGACTTAGGCTTAATTTAATTTAGACAACGCTCAGGGTGCACTACTATTAGAGAAAATACAGTAATTACCAATTAACCTATGGTTTTCTCTAAATAAAAAGTGTTTAAAGTTTAATTTTCTCTCAAAAAAAGTGTTTATTATTTCATTTTCTATCTTTTTAATTCAAATTTCGGTTCATTTTCAAGCAATTGTTCCATTGGTTTTAAAAGAAAGTACAAAAAGACTTTCTGGAAAGCCTATTAGTTAGAAAAATAAGTTTATAACAAAAAGTGACTTAAAATCTAATCAAACTATAAAGATTAACCTTCTTAATTGTACAATTTTACTTAACGCATACTTATAACTTAACGCATACTTTTTGAAAGTTTCTTCTTTAAAATCAATTTTCATTCCAATCAATTTTCATTCCAATCAATTTTCATTTCAATCAATTTCAATATTCCTCAATTTAGGTGGCTTCCCGAAACGTGGATCCCTTTGTATTCAATGGTGACATTCACGCGAATACCCTACTCGCAAGTCGTTCAAAATAGAAAATGGCAAGATGATGTGAGTTTTGAATATAAAATTCGACAAATGACAAATAAAGAGGAAATTTGTATCGAGATTAGAGAGAGGGATTAACCTCCAAAAGTGGGCTTGAATATGAAAAACTTTGAAACATGAAAATTATAAACAACTTCTAAATAACTTCTTAACAACTTTAGGCCATTTTTAAATCAAAACTTTGTAGATTTTGAAGTGAAAATGCAAATCCTGAGTTATTCTTAAAGATTTAAACGTTGAGAAAAGGAATATGCTTGAATTGTGTAGATTCAATGTACCGAATTTTTTAAAACATTGTCTTCCCTTCTTTTATTTTTACCGTAATCTCTAAAAAGATTTTTTTTACTGGCTTTTTAGCTAGTTTAGCTAGTTTTTTATCTAACTAGCTAGCTAAAAGTAACTAACTAGCTAGCTAGTTAGCTATTTTAGCTATTGCCTCATAGTAAATTAGGTTCTTTTCTTGAAACTTTTAGAAAACTTTTTAAAAACAAGTATTCCGTTGAGGATTTCATTTGTTCGTCGACATTGAACATTGAAAAACTTTCTTGACATTGAAAAGCTTGTGATTGGTTTAAAATTGAATTGAATTGAATTGAATTGAAATTGAATTTGAAAACGGTTAAAGTAGTATCAATTGATCATCGTAAAATACTCAAATAGAGTAATTTCTCTAATAGTAGTGCACCCTGAGCGTTGCCTAAATTGCTCGAAATCTTGAGAACCGCTTATCAGAACCTATCGATGTGGGGTCGGAAAATGTAGCTGAGGATGAGATCTTGTTGGGGATTAGAGTGTTGAGCTTCTGTGAAAACTTTGGAAGCAGTAAAATAGTCATCAACTCGGCTCGGCTCACTACTATTAGAGAGAATAGGGCAAATGAAAAGCGAATAAAAAATACGGCTTGCGGCGTACAAAATAGTCAAAGGTATCATAAAATATAAAACAAATACCGTATTTTCTCTAATAGTAGTGCACCCTAAGCGTCGTCTAAATTCCTGGAGAGAGGAGATCTGGTGGGGGATTAGTGAGAGGTACAAGCAGTATAAATCAGGAAGCCAGTCACGATTGTTCAAGCTGAGCCTAGCCTATAGGAAGCCCTGAGTGTCCGTCAGTCAGAGCTGACTCTAGATCTGGCTAGCTTACTGTAGTCTGTCTTTCTGCCTGCTTGGAACATAACTACCGTATTCTCTCTAGCAGTAGTGCATCCTAATCGTCGCCTAAATTGCTCGAAATCTTGAGAACCGCTGATCAGAACCTATCGATGTGGGGTCGAAAAATGTAGCTGACGATGAGATCTTGTGGGGGATTTGAGTGTTGAGCTTCTGGGAAAACTTTGAAGCCGTAAAATAGGCATCAACTTGGCTCACCGGTGTGCACTACTAGAGAAAATACGGCATTTAAAATTGAAAGGCTTTTTTGGCGGTTGATTAAGATCTAAGAACAAAAAATTTCAAGCTAAATTGAAACAGAATCTTTTCAAAAGCGTTGAATAGCGTCTATTATTGAAAATCTTAAGTCTTTTATCTAATAAATCTTTTTATTAACTGAATCAATGATATTAACTGATTCATAATCCTTCTTTATCCTTGTTTTAGTTACTGAGACGAGTGCACACTTCTCTATTCTTGGGTTTTCTCGCGGCCGGCTCAGCTATCGGATATCTTTTGGTGAAAAAAAGGAATCTATTATGAACAAATAAAATCTGAACACTTTTTGCTTTCCTTTTTAAACAGATTTGATTATTTTTTGTCTTTTGATTGAATGGTTTCATAAAAAATAAGAATCTATCACTTATCTTTGTACAGATTTCCCTCAAAAATCCTTTTTTGATGATTTGATGATGATTTTTTTCACTTTGAATGCTTTTGAAATGCTCAAATCGTTCAAATCGTACGTTAAAATCGTACTTTTTACTTAAATTTAAATTTTATCATTGAAAAGAATGAAAATAAAAGATTTCTATTGAAAAATAGTTTGCAATTTGATGGAATTTGATAAATTTCTAATAAAATATCAAGTTTTTGCTTTAAATTTGGCTTATTTTTTGTACAAATTGTTAAACCATTGCTTAAATTAAAGAAAAAGCTTTCAAAATCAATCGGAATACCCAATTTTGAGTGGATTTATCATGCTAATTCATTGGATTCGGTGAATTTTTAATTGGTTCTTTGTGCGGCCGCGTAATCGCTCGTCGTCTGGCGCAGGGCTTTAACGTAACCCCCTGCCCTCTCTCCTCTCCAATCTCTTCCGACCATTTCCAAATCTTCAAATTCGACATTGACTTCTCCTGAAATCAAGGCTAATCTCAATCTATTGGGTTGGTGAATCGAAAAACCGCTGGCTATTGTCATATGTCACAGTTTGAGCACTTTCTTCAAAAGAAACCCATTTTGATGTCAATGGAAAAGTTGTAGAGAATCAAAAATCAAGCTTATATCCAAATTTTCAGAACGATTCAAAAACTGGTTTTCAAGAAATGCCAAATTTACGAATTTTCACAAAGCTTGCAACAAAACTTGCATTTTAAGCGAAACTACTAAGTGTATCTTTTTGGAAATTTGGCTATAAGCCTAATTTTTGATTCTCTACAACTTTTCTATTGACACCAAATGGGTTTCTTTTGAAGAAAGTGATCGAATGCTCAAACTGGGACATCTCAAGTCCTCCATTCTTGAGTCTCACACTTGTCTCACACACAAACCAAAATCCTACTACGAAAGAGGAATCCGCAAATTGCCTACAATTGAAATCCTCTCTTCCTCGAATTGTGACAGGAGATGAGAAATGGGTTTTATCTGTGAACTTTCGGAGGAAGCGGCAATGGGTGGGGCCAGGCGAGAAACCCGAAAGTGACTCCAAGCCCGATTTGCACCAGAAGAAGTTGATGCTCTGCGTTTTCTGGGATATGGAGGAGTGGTGCACTGGGAGTTGCTGGATAGCAGGACGACCCTTAATGCAATCAAATACAGTGAACAGTTGGGAAAGGTGAATGAATCCTTGAAGAAGAATAGGCCCTTCAAGTCAAAGGTCGTTCTCCTCCACGACAACGCGCCCTGCAAACTGACTCGCTCTAAAATAAACAGCCTTGTTTGGGAACTTTTGGCACATCCCCCGTACAGTCCGGACCTCGCCCCTTTTGATTACTATTTATTCCGGATCATGAGCTTGCGGGAGAACACTTCGATTCGGAAGAAGCAGTCAAAAATTGGCTCGAAAAGTTTTTCGATTCAAAACCAAAATCCTACTACGAAAGAGGAATCTGCAAATTGCGTGTAAAATGGGCAGAAGTCGTCAATAATAATGGAAATTATTTGGAATGAATTGATGGTTTATGTTGAATAAATTTAGTTCAAAGTCCCGCAGTTTTCAATTCACCAATCTAATAACCATCAAATTTTCCAGATGTTTTCTTGTGCTTTCCCCCTTTTTTTCTTGTACTTTCAAGGGTTCTTGTTTGAGAAATCGGATTAGAAAAGCCTTTTCAGCTGGGTTTTTCTTGACTTTTCTTAGTTTCTTGGCTTTAAAATGGGAAAAATCGGCTTTTCCATTTCTCATTCATCTCATTCATACTCCCGAAAATCTATTTTTCAATTGATTATGCTGAGTTTCTTGCTTTGAAATTGACCCTTTGAAACTTGTTTTTAAACTGAAAAAGGATTTACTTCCATGAAGAATATTATGTGGAAATTGAGCTGAGATTTGCTAAAGCTCTTTTTGATGGATTGATGGAGAAGATTGGAAATGATGGATTAAATGTTTAAAACGAAAATTACGTTCGAACGGTTGATTGGAGCGTGGATTGACGCTTGGCTTTACTCTGCAACCGCTCCAACTTTAAAACATTCTTTTTTGTTTCGGTTCTTCAATAACTTCTCCGCTTTTTATTGTTTTACAACAAATTACAGCGAAGGCAGTTAATATTTGGACTCTTTTCCCGAATCGTGGTTCTTTAAAAGTCTTTTACTTTACGATTACTTTGAAACATTACTTTAGCATTACTTTGAAAGATTCTTTCTTGTCAATCGCGGCGTCGTTATCAACTTGCTTACTGGATTGCTGTTGCTTAACTTTCAGTTCTTGTCGACTTCTTCCTTCGTCATTTTGCACGCAATGCAATGGTTGGGTAAATCTGATAGGGTTTGTGAAGAGTTAACATCTGTCTGATCGGGTTTAAATTCTTTCCAAAAATTACTTTGGTTCAAATAGCAGCCTTCTCTTTAGTAAAGCAAAAATCCAAGAAGAATATTTTGATCTTTTGATCCAAATTATGTCGATGGAAAGATCTTTGGTTTAAACAGTCATCAAGTGAAGGAAAAATGCTAATCGACACTTCCGAATCCTTCCGAATTGTCATGTGCATTCCAACTTAAAGCAAATTGCTAAAAAATAGCCTTTTGACTTAATATTTCTTGATCTAGACTCATGAAAGCTGTTCACGCTATTATCTCGCTTTCCCAAAAACTCAGTCCATAAATTTTTAAAACAATTTTTACGTAAAGATTATAATTCTCATTTGTGCACTAACTGGACAACTTTAATTTAAACTGACTTTAGAAAAATCCTTACTTTACATTCTTTACTTTACAATCCTTACTTTACAATCTTTACGCTACAATCTTTACTCTACAATCTTTACTTTACAATCCTTACTTTACATTCTTTACTTTACAATCTCTACTTTACAATCTTTACTTTACAATCTTTACTTTACAATCTTTACTTTACTTTCTTTACTTTACTTTCTTTACTTTACAATCTTTACTTTACAATCTTTACTTTACAATCCTTACTTTACATTCTTTACTTTACAATCTTTACTTTACTTTCTTTACTTTACAATCTTTACTTTACAATCCTTACTTTACATTCTTTACTTTACAATCTCTACTTTACAATCTTTACTTTATAATTCTTACTCTACAATCCTTACCTTACAATCCTTACCTTACAATCCTTACTTTACATTCTTTACTTTACAATCTTTACTTTACAATCTTTACTTTACAATATTTACTTTACTTTCTTTACTTTACAATCTTTACTTTACAATCTTTACTTTACAATCCTTACTTTACAATCCTTACCTTACAATCCTTACTTTACACTCCTTAAAAATTCACAAAGCATTTTTTTTAGCAATTCTTCACTCTTTTAAAAATGATTCAACAATTTTTTGATTACTTAGAACAAAATTTTTCTTTATTCTCAAAGATTGCCCTCTTTTTTTCAGCAAAAATTTGAGTTTTGGTCGTTTGATTTTCGCGGGAGCGTTTAAAGACACGCGATCATCAAAAAAAAAGAGAAAAAAACACTTTCTAGAATACATTTCTTCTCAATTGAATATTTTTCCAGATATTTGATCAAATGGCATTTGAAAATTTTAGTTTTATCATTTAGAAAAGTTCACTAATTGGGGGAAAATCTCAAAGAATTCTCTCAAGGGATTCAAAATTTCTAAATTTCACTTTTTTTTTAAAATTTTCTCTAATTGAAGTCATATTTCTCAATTTTAAAACAATAATAAATAAATTTAACTGAAAATTTTCAATATAAAGGCTTATAAAGGCTTGTAAAATCTTTTAAACCCTTGTAAAACCTTGTAAGACCTTGTAAGACCTTGTAAGACCTTGTAAGACCTTGTAAAACCTTGTAAAACCTTGTATAACCTTGTAAAACCTTGTAAAACCTTTTAAAACCTCATTGATAAGTTCTAAAATCGTTTTCACATTGTTTTTCTTGAAAATTTCAATTTTCAAGTGTTAATTTGTGATAAAATGCCAAAAAAAACAATAAAATGCAATTTTTGGTATTATTGGAGTCTTGTTTTTGTTGTATGCTTTTCTATTTGTTTTCTAAAATCCCCTCCACTCAAAAATTTGAATTTATTAATTTGCATATAACATTCTGATCTTCGGAGTTGGGTTTCCGGTCTTCATAGGTAGAATTGAGTAATAAAATTAGCATAAAAATAAAAATAATCAGTCAGATCTTGTGTGAGATTGATGGAGATGCAAGATTTACATATTATAAACCGAGAAAAAGGTTTTTGCTCTTTCTATTTGTTTTTAGAATTTGTTTATCTAAAGCAATGAAAGTTTTTCTTTCATATTTCTTCAACTGACCACAGCCAGTTGAAGCCAGCCAACTAGCCATAGCCAGTTGAAGCCAGCCAACTGGCTATAGCCAGTTGAAGCCAGCCAACTAGCCATAGCCCGTTGAAGCCAGCCAACTGGCTATAGCCAGTTGAAGCCAGCCAACTAGCCATAGCCAGTTGAAGCCAGCCAACTAGCCATAGCCAGTTGAAGCCAGCCAACTGGCCACAGCTATTAGGTTTTTCGGATATAAACGAGCGTTTGCACTCCTTAGAAAAAATCGACGGGAAATAAGGGGAAATATTGGTATTTTTGCTAGAAAAAACAGATAAATAACAGAAAACACACAACCAAATGCTTTTTAAACTTATTTTTTTCAATTCGACTTTGATTTTTCAAAGTTTTTAACCCGAATAGCAAATCTTTGATTTCAACAGAAAAATCAATGTTTCAACTTGTTTAATGATCGGTCCAGCTTGCCAAATTTAATTCTCGGAAATCTCAGTCTAGGAAAATAAGTCTAACAACTTAATTATTGGGTTTTTCGGATATAAACGAGTGTTTGCACAGGTTAAGTCGTGAGGTAGCCATTTCCC